CCAATGTGCCACTCGGCTGGCCCCTTACCATCTTTTTGGGTTTTTTTGTTTTTGTTTTTTTTTTAGCTGAGCCATCCTGCTACCTGTTGGCAGCTCAGTGGCTGCTCAGCTCGGGCTGGACTCGAACCACTGTTGCTCAGAGCTCAAACTCTTGAGCAAGCTCTTAACCAACTGAGCCACCCTTACCATCTTTTTGATTGTCCCTTTTGATTACAGCCATGCTAGCGGGATGAAGTATCTCATTGTGATTTTGATTTGCATTTCCCTAGTGATTACTGAACATGTGTTCATGTCCTTATTGACCATTTGTGTGTCTTCTTTGAAGAAATGTCTATTCAAATCTCTCAACCCATTTTTAATTGGGCTGTCATTTTATTGATGAGTTGTAAGAGTTCTTCAGATATTTAAGATACTAGACCTTTATCAGATATATGATTTACAAATATGTTTCCCATTCTATGGATTGTCTTTTCACTTTCTTGATGGTGTTCTTTGAACCACAAAAGTTTTAAATTTTGATGAAGTCAAATTTACCTGTTTTTTCTTTTGTCACCTGTGCTATAGGTGTGATAGTTAAAAAACCACTGCTTAATCAAAGGTCACAAAGATTTACACCTATGTTTTCATCTGAATCTTAGTTTAGCTCTTACATTTAGGTCTTTGATCCAATTTTGAGTTAATTTTTATATATGGTGTGAGGTAGGGGGTCCTATCCAGTTGCTCTGGCACTATTTTGAAAAGACTATTCTTTCTCATTGAATTGTCTTGGTACCTTAATTTGTTTTAAAACTAAATCTTATTCTTTTTAAAGTACATTCCCAAGGTTGCTCAATAACTGACTACACTCAGTCAAACATAGAATATACAACTGAATAAGGTTAACATGTGTGTATGTGAAAAGCCCCCATTGTAAGAATCAGTTACTTTCACTTTACATAACCTAAGAGTATTCTGGCCACTGCACTGGATATATTCATTATCTTGACTATGGTGATGGTTTCATGGGTATATACATGTCAAACTTACCAAACTGTACACTTTAAATATGTGCAGTTTATTGAATGTCAATTATACCTCAAGAAAAAAAAATTTTTTTAAAGAGATAACCTAAGGGCAAGAGAATAAATGAAATACCTTTTTTTCTTAATCAATTTTCAGGATCAGTTTCTCTGGTGGGGCCTAAAGATATATTACCTAATAATATATTTCCTAATAATTTAGGAAAACTTATACTTCTACATTTCTCTTAACCAACTTTGTTCCAAAATGTAAGCAACCCATTTAAATTCAATATTTGTAAGGCTGGGACCAACTCATCACCCTGGGATAAGAATTCATGAGAGTTGGAAATGTGTTTTGACTCTTAAGGAAAAACATTTTTAGGTCTCCTTCTAGTGAGAAGTCAGAGAATAGGTTTTTCCTTTTCTACATAAAATGTAAGCCCTCCCAACTGCACCAAGCTCCATTTTGGCAGAGACTTCATGTCTATTCATTCACCCTCATATCCCTATCAAGAACACGGCCACGCACACAACAGGCACTCAGTAAATACCTGTTGAACAAATGAATAAAATCCCACTTAATCTGGCACCACCTTTTCCTGAGATCATTTTGGACTGAGGCAAGTGGCAGCTCTGTTCCTCTCTCTAACTCCACAATTCCATCTCTAGAGTCAGATGCTGTCTGTTTTCTGCAAATTTTCTTATTATTCAACTTTTTATATTTGGAAAAACAAGGTAGTGTGGCTTAAGAATCTCACATCCAAGAAATGAACTAAAATATTGTATCAAATATTTATGCATAGGAGCCACAAACTAGAAACAACCAGGTGAAAGCAGTTAGGGCAATCATAGCATCCCCTCTGGAAGAAATAGTCCACAGACTTAAAATGCTAATTATGATGCATCTGCAGTAACATGGAAAACGAGTAGTGTGACTCAGGAAATGAAAAGTACCATCATTGACTAGGATTGCAAACTAAAATTTTACACACAGTGATCTGCTAGAATTGATACGCCATGAAGGCAAGATGTTTTGGCGCGTTCTGATTATTGGACAGTGCCTGGCAATATAAAAGGTGCTTATTAATACCTGCTACGTGAATAAACTAAATAGAAAACATACCTGAAGGAAATGAACAAACGTGGGAAAGTGTGTTCAAGCAGTGGAAGTGTGGGTTGTTTCCTCCAATTCTCCCTAAAGTTGTGATAAAACTTTCTCAGTTGAAAGGACGGCCACAGAAACCCTCCACCGAGCTCCGGCTGCTTCCTCCCCTGTCCTGTAACTAAGGAAGCATTTGAATTGGAGTAGGATGTGGCCCGGCTTCAATTCCAACAGGGGCATTTTACAGGGTGTGTGGCTCCAGCCCGGGGGCTCCTCGGGCACTTGGTATTTAGGCTCCCCCCCCCAGCCCCACCCCCGAGGTTGAGAAAGCAGCGCTGCCCCCG